CCAGAGGAGATCCGGGCCCTGCAGGATTTGATGCAGTTCCGCAGGGCCTGCAAGATGGAGCTCTTCCACCAGGCTTTTGAGTAGGCCCCCCCCCCGCTATTTGTCATCATGGGGGGGGTAGAAGAGGCCCTAGGAAGGCAACATCTGAATTCTTTAACATCTAAATAAATATTGAAGCCACTGAATGACCACTGGGAATGTCTGGACATGGTCCATCATCTTTTCTGGGGGTTTTAGAACTAAAGATCACCGAGCACTTTATTTTGTACTGGGATTGGTTTTTAAATTGTATAATATGTTTTAATTATTGGAATAATATGTTTTATTGTGCAAGATTCTTGCCCTGTAAGCCGCCCTGAGCCCTACGGGGGAGGGCGGGATATAAATCTGATTAATAAATAAATAAATAAATAAATTTCCATCTTTCTTTCCTTCTCTTTCTTTCCCTCTTTCCTTCTCTCTTTTTATCCCCTCTTTCCTTCCTTCTTTCCTTCTATTTCTTTACCTCTTTCCTTCCTTCCTTCTCTCTACTCTCTCTCTTTCCTTCCCTATTTCCTCCTTCTGTGGCCCAACTCTAGTGAGAAGGGGTTTAAAATTTAAACCCCTTCTCTCTTCGCTCCCCCCACAGGTCAGCTGAGGAAGGGAAGGGGGGCTTTTGAAGATGCCTCCCCCCCTTTGCTTCCTCTTCTGACATCACTTCCGGTGATGTCAGGGGGTGTGGCATATGCTAATAGCCTAGTAGCTCATTAGCATACCGTATGCTAATGAGCTCCTGCAGCTTTTTCTATGAAAAGACCCCTGGGTCTTACCGGTGTTTCGCCAAAAGAATATACCTGGGGAAAGAGAGGCAGAGATTCCTGCATTGTCTGGTTTCCGTTACCTTAACAGCTTTCCTTGCATCAGCAGTAAGGCAATAAAAGTTTCCAGGTAGCTGATGGGAGAGTCAGCCAAAGAGCCAGAGGCTCTTGCATCCTCATGTGCTATATACTTCCATTACAATAGGGAGCCAGGTTTATTTACAAGAAAAAAATGAAATCCATACAGAGGGATTTCAGTGGTCTCCATGTGAGATACCTGAATGATTATGAGATACCTGATTGATTGATTGATTTCCTTTATAGGTTTCCTTTCACCCTGATGGCATATTACACATCTCTTCTGTCTGACATGGTAAACTGGCATATGTCAGAACATATTTGTGATATTTTTATCAACAAAAACTTTGCAAGTTTGTCAGTTTCTGAGATGATAAAGGCATATTAATAATATAAGAGTAAGCAGATGCTGAGATACCTTAAACAGTTGGGATGGTCATGGACTAGCTGATGCAGTGGTAGCAGAGAAGTTACATTTCTTAGATGAAAAATATGAGATCGCTCTTCACATAAAAGCAGCCCAGGGGAGATCTGATTGTCTTCTCTTCAATGGTCTCTTTATAAAACTAAAGTAATATTTTCTCTGCTTTACAGGGGAACAGGTAAAGTTGTACCCTACGTCCTCCCATGTTTACCTTGCTGAAATGAACATCTGACTGTTTTTTTACAGAAGTGATGTCAAGCTGTCACTGATAGCAATTTTTAAAAAGGTAATGCCATATGGTTTTTGGCAATTCCTAGAGAGGCATGATATCACTTCTAGAGAAAACCTGAAAGGGATGTCAGTTCTTTCTAGGGATCACTGGAAATTGTGGTTTTTTCCATGCCACCTACTGTGCCCTCCTATGTCCACATCCCACCGTAAACTCCCTATCAGCACTTCATCCAATACTGGCAGTTACATTTATCTATAAAAAGAACTGTTGACTTTCGTGGAGATGTAACCAGAAAGCACAACAGACTTACACAAGGTTTCTGTTTTAAAAGCCTTTGCGAAATAAAATTTCTTTTCCAGTTATAAAGTTGTTTCTGTGCTAAAATAAACCAGTTTCTCTCTTAATGGTTTGTTTACTTGTTTGTTTGCTTATTTGTTAATTGTTGCTCTTAGGTGTATATGCTCAAGTAGGTGTTGTACTGTGAAGAACCAAGCAATAACAATGACATTTCAGATTGGGGAAAAAACCCAGTTGAGAACAGCATGCAATTGGGAACTGGTAGAATTCCAGAGGAAAGGGCATGATTCTTACTGGTAGAGAAGACTGCTGTCTCAGGAGACATCCAGGCGAAACTCTCAGACTAAACAGCCAGCTTGCTGACATCTTTACTTCCCCCCCTTCCAATAAATAATCCATTTTCCCAATTCCCCCCTGACATGCTTGTCTTAACATATTTAAATAATTAATAGTCACCCTCTTCTTTTTTCTCTCTTTCTCCCTTTTTAGGTATTGTATTTCCCTACTTTCCACGCCTGGGCCGCTATAACCTAAACTTTTATGAGGCCCAGAAAGCCTGCCTGGACCAAGATGCAGTTATAGCTTCATTTGACCAATTGTATGAAGCATGGAGGTCAGGTCTAGACTGGTGCAATGCAGGCTGGCTCAGTGACGGGTCAGTGCAGTATCCCATCACAAATCCCAGGGAACCTTGTGGAGGAAAGAACACAGTGCCTGGAATCCGGAATTATGGTTTCTCCAACAAAGATCAAAACAGATATGATGTCTTCTGTTTTACATCACATTTTAATGGTAAGGAACTTTGACTCCCCTTTTAAAAAGGATCTTTTGGTTTTTGAGATAAAGCTGTTTCAACATATCACTATTTTAAAAATTATCTCTACTCTGTTTTTTGCCTGTAGTAACTTCAAGATGGCCCATTTGGAAAATACAAATTTAACAATAAAAATGTAACACAAGTTAAAACAAATAAGAAAAGAATAAAGTAGATGTAAAATCAAGAAGCAGATGAAAATAGGCAAGAAGAGATGTTCAGCTCACCAAAACAGTTGGGGATGAGAGGGACTTACCGGAAGAAAGAGAAAGGCCCAGGCCTCATTGCCAGCATTTCATAGGAAGTGACACTCTGGTATAGAGTTGTATGTCTCATCACACCAGTGACATCCAAGTGATGCTTTTGTATTTGGGCAAAAATCCCAGAGCATCACTTGGAATTTGCTGGTGTGATGATGTCACTTACTATGCAACACCAGCCATGAAGCCTGGGCCTTCTCTTTCTCCAGGTAAGTCAACCCTCCGGCCAGCTGATCCGTGGCCAGGGGGGGCCTGGCAGCAAGGGACCCCCACCTTCAGATCTGAAAGTGGTGTGTCCCACCATGTTGAGGCCTGCAATTACTTTTTCTAGATGTAATCATTGGTGGGCAGACAGGTCTATTGTGGTATCACCAGAACTGGCTACCATTGTAAGACAACTGTGACTTGAGGTACTAATGGTAGAGGTGGAGAGATTGCTCGATCCTCTCTTTTGACACAGCAACTTTTAAATTAAATTTTAAATTAGGGTTGACTATTAAATGCACAGAAACACCCTTACTCCCATTTTTCCCATGCATTTATTAATTTTATATATTGCAAAGTTGTATGTATTTAACAAAGATACACATCAACATGTCATCTACACCCCATAAAAACCAGCATCTCTGCAAGGAAGGACAAAAGTCCAAGGTAGGGGCATTTTTTTGATTCAGCTATACTAAACCCAAAAAATATTGGTTTTCCTGATATTCTTGGATCCCACTATCGATATGATACTGGGATTTGGGAAATAATTAGGATAGCCGAATTTATTCACCAATGCATTAAAAGGGATGGTCCCTTTTGCAAGCTACGCTGTGAGTGAACCCAGAAGGTTAAACCTTCCATGTTTGCTCAAGGCTTGGCTTCCAAATGCATTTAAAGGGACCATCCCCTTAAATGCATTGGCTTCTCCTGTATCATGTTTAAACCATGGGCCAGAAGAAGCTGGCCCCGGAATCTGGTGTGTTCAGGGAGATTTCTCCCTTTCCCCACAGCACCCAGACCGAGCTGGGAGGGTTTCTTCTTTGGAGGGTTTAAATCACCCCACAAAAAACCTCCAGGATCTGGCATGCACGAGATCTTTGGCTGAGTTCAGACTGGCAGTTTTCCCCGATATAGGCACAAGCAACTACCCTTTCTGCAACTACCCTATCTGGCTTTCAAATAATGGGAGGCTGTATTGCAAGAGAGCATCCTAATGAAATCCCTCTGTATTGAAGGCAGGAGGGGAAAAGATAACGGATGAAGCAATCTTTAAGACAGATTGTGCCTTGGTTATGTAAAGAAGTTGCCTGTTTGCAGGTCCTATAAATTATTTTTACTGAAAATGGGGAAACAGCTTATGTGCATGAGTTCACATAACCGGATTACCAGAGAAAGCTGCTTACAGCCGCACCTCCAGGCCAACAGTGTGATCACTCCCTTGCACCTCCTGCCTGGTATGCTTCCACATCAGTCGGTACAGTGTGACCAGGAAAACCCAGAACAGTTTGTTCCGGATCTTTTTTGCCACGACTCCCTCCTGCTTCAAACTGCCAGTCTGAACTCAGCCTTTCTCTCCCCATAGCACCCAGTCCCAGCTGGGAGGGCTTCTTCTGCAGGGGGCCTTTCAACCTCCTCCCCTTTCCTTCACTCGGCTTCTAAGCCAGGTGAAAGGAAAGAGGGGAGTTAAAGGGGAAGCCAGATGCTTGTGCCTGGTAGTGGGGCCAACATGCCAGCCCCGCTGTCAGGCACAAATGCCCGAGAGTCCTTTAACCCTTCCCTTTCCCTTCACCCAGCTTCCAAGCTGGCAAAGTGAAAGGGAGGAGTTAAATCTCCCAGATTCTGTTCCAACTTTCTGCAACTACCCTATCTGGCTTTCAAATAATGGGAGGCTGTATTGCAAGAGAGCATCCTAATGAAATCCCTCTGTATTGAAGGCAGGAGGGGAAAAGATAACGGATGAAGCAATCTTTAAGACAGATTGTGCCTTGGTTATGTAAAGAAGTTGCCTGTTTGCAGGTCCTATAAATTATTTTTACTGAAAATGGGGAAACAGCAGAACCACAACCTGACAAATCAATAAATGCCTAGATCCACTGTGTTGCATAACAGCAAAAACAGAAATAAGAAACCTAACAGATTTCATTGTTTAGCAACAAATTTGACTTTTTCATGACTCACACGCAAGGCCTCTTGAATGCGACTTAATGCATGGTGCAGAACAGATGTTCGGCCCGTTTCCCACAAGCAAAGAGATGCTTCCAATCTCTGCTTGTACACAGCATTTATTTGCTTTAAAGCATGAAAAGACTAAACAGATACTTTGCTTTGGGCAAGGATGCTTCAAACCTGAGTCTCCAAAATAAACATCATTGAAAGCCAGAGTTAAAACACTGTTGCAAATGTTTACCTGATCTATATCCAGCTTAGTTGTTCCATAGAAGGTTGATTACATTTATGCAAGTATAAATGAAAGGAATATTTTTTAAAAGACTAAGGCTAATCAACTTTGAAAATGCAGTTCATCCCCTGAAAATGTTCATAGGCTGTTATTTCTTTGCAGGAGTTAAGCACATTTCTCTGTGGCAGTGACTTTACAATGAGATGGGTCACATGGTACATTCAAACATAAAATAGTTGTTACTTGGAGAAGAGTTAAAGCAGAGCCTCTGCTAATGCAGACTGCTGAGTCAGGGCAAGCTTGTATCTACTGATTTGGCCATAAGCCATGGTTTTTCCTGTACCTCCTACACACACACACACACATGTACACATGCATTACATTATTGCAGAAGCTGCTGTCTTTGTATCTCAAGTTGTGTATGTGTGTGCGTTTTCCAGAAAATACATTTTTTTTCTTTCAAGTGAAATTTAGGGGAAAGAGAAGGGTTTATAAGCCAATTGCAGAAAACCAGTGGAAGTAACACTGGCTACAAGGGAAGCTGTGATATAATTTTGAAGGCTATGTTTGAGTTAAAGTTGCCAGCCTCCAGGAGGGAATTGGAGATCTCCCTGAATTACAATTGATCTCCAGACTACAGGATCAGTTTCCCTGGAGAAAATGACTGCTTTGGAGAGCAGATGCTGTGGTAACATCCCCACAGAGCTCCCACCCCAAACTCTCCAGCTCCATCCCAAATCTCCAGGAATTTCTAAACCCAGAGCTGGCAGCCCTAATTCAAGTAGATCCATCTTGATTCTCAATGGACTTCTGAGTTCCAAGTTGTTGTTTTTCCAGTTAACTAGCATTAAAAGGGGTTTTCCTGAACGTTCTGAAATCCCCTCACTATTACCAGCTTCCTCCATGGCTTCTGTCACTCTTGCAAGAAATGAAGAGTGTTTTGCCCTAAATGTCTTTAGATTTCCTGCAGACTTAACTTTCAGGTAACAGGAGGCCAGATCCCTGGGCCCTTGTTAGGACTGAAAACCTTACCAACAGAAGCTTACCAGTCTACCAGTATCTGGTAACCGTGGTTTCTCAGGCTTTCAGGGATTCTGCTAAGTTTATTTACAAGTCTATCCAAAATTCAAAGACAAATTGTAAAAAGTTCATTGTTTCTAACTAGGGTTGCCAGGTCCCCCCTGACCATTGGCAGGGGATGGAGGTTAGGGTTGCCCGATCCAGGTTGGGAAACTCTTGGAGATTTGGGGATAGAACCTTTGGAGGACAGGGACTTCGGTGGGGTTCAGTGCCATAGAGTCTACCCTACAACACACCCATTTTCTCCCGGGAAACTGATCTCTGTATTCTGCAGATGAGCTGTAATTCTGGGGGATCCCCAGATCCCACCTGGAGTTTGGCACCCTTATTTCTAACCTTGTTCCTCAGCCAGTGCGGTATAGTAGTTGTTTTAACTTATGTATGGATTTTAATTCTATGTATTGATCATAAATGTCATGTTAAATTTACTGTGCCAATAAAGGTATCGTACTTGTATAGTAGTTAAATTGTCAGCCCAGGGTCTGGGAGTCACAGGTCAGAATCCCCACTCTTCCGTGGAAGCTCACCAGGTGACCTTGGCCCAGTTATACATTCTTAGTCTAACCTACCCTACAAGGTTGTGAGGATATAATGGAGGGAGAATATTGTAACCCACTATGAGTCCCCATTGGGAAGAAAGGCAGGGTATAAATGAAGTTAATACAATTGGAAAATTTAGCAACATTAATGTAATATGAAATTTTTTTTAACTTCATAGCTGTAAAATTATATTCCTTTATTGAATCAAGAAAATATATTTTTGTTATTCATCTTCCCATTCATCTGATATATATGTTTGTTTATTTTTTGCTCTCATAAGGCCGTTTTTATTACCTAATACATCCAACCAAACTGACCTATGATGAAGCCGTGCAAGCCTGCCTCAAAGATGGTGCACAGATTGCTAAAGTAGGCCAAATATTTGCAGCCTGGAAGCTTCTAGGATATGACCGCTGTGATGCCGGCTGGCTGGCTGATGGCAGCGTCCGATACCCTATCTCCAAGCCAAGAAAACGCTGTAGTCCTACTGAAGCAGCAGTCCGCTTTGTAGGCTTTCCAGATAAAAAGCACAAGCTCTATGGTGTCTACTGTTTCCGGTCATACCAGTGAACATACCTACCGCACAGCAATTTCCAATCCATCAAGAACATGTGAAGGATTTTCTTTCAGTACAAACTCATGCAAGTTACCAAAACTGTGATAAATCTTTTTTACTTACTGTAAAAAGTCATTTTCATAAAACCAATCCATTAATTTGTTTTTGTTGTTTTTTAAAGGTATCATTCAATAGATATTTTAAATTAATATAATTTAAAGGAAGCTCTAGGTAAAGAAGTATTTAAAGTGTAATTGTTTAAGCTACATCATTCCAACAACAAAGCATACTTTTGGTGAATGGGGCATGCAATAGCTTGATGATTGCTATGACTACATTAAAAAATGTAAGGCTACTCAAAGCAAAAAAAAAAAAACCTTTCCAAGGACAAAGTTTACATATTTGTATCATGTCAAAATAGACCAGAGGATAATGACTGTGATCTGAGGTCTGAACTACACTCATCTTATTCTTAACCTACATTCCATGTGGTTTTGAATGGAGTTATTTTTTAAAAACAACATTTAAACCCACCATGTTTATGAAACATGTTTAAACCATGTTTGTTTGTTTTAGCAAAACAACCTGCTAAATAATTCCATAACATTCCAGCAGGGACAGTCAGATCTTCTGAAAACATTATTCCTGGTTTTATTGTGTATGCAGTAGAAACGTGTGTATGAATAATTAAAGAGTGGACCCTACTTTCTCCTTAATACAACCTAAATATGGCTGAGATAGTTTGCATTACCTTTGAGTAGCTTTATGGAGGCTTTTATTTTTTAAAAAAATCAAAAGGCCATTTTGCTAACCTGCATTTAGCATCTACTCAGGGCAGTTATATATTAATGAACTGCTGGACAGAAAACAAGTGTATTAAATTTAGCAGCTTGATTTCATGTTAGCTTTTAAAATATTATTGTCTTTATAAATGGATTGTTAAAATATTTAATACTTCTTTCTTAGTTACACACAAGAGAAACATTTCAATGAAGTTAACTTTTAATTAGGAAAGGGAAAATATCTCTACCCCCAGTCAGTTTCCTGTGTTCATGTCAATTTATGTGTGTCTCTTGTATGAATATTTCCATTTATTTTAATGGAGAAGGCAGCAGCTCTATGCATGTTTTCCCTTTGTTATAGAGCTAAGGTTGCCAGGTCCCTCCTAGCAACCAAAGGGGACTTACCAGGAGAAAGATGAAAGCCTAGGCCACGTCACTGGCATTGCACAGGAAGTGACATCATCATGCTATGCCATCGCTGTGATGCTGTGGTATTTGGACAAAAGCTCTATGGTAAAAATCAGCTTCTACCATAGCGTTTTTCCAGACGTTGCTGGCATAATGATGTCACTTCCTGTGTAATGCTGGCAAAGTGGTCTAGGCCTTCCTCTTTTCCTGGTAAATTGCTCCTCCATCCAGCTGATCGGTGGCAGGGGCAGGGCCTGATGGCAGGGGACCCCCCTCCACTGGGGGGGGGGCTGGCAACACTATATGGAGCTCTTCCACCACTGAATGAGGAAGCTCTTGAGGAGCAAGACTGTGGTGTGTTGAAATATTCATGCTCATAAATGAGCCCTGGATCAAGAAAAATGTAGCCAGTTACATTAACGTTCTTCTTTTTCACTCCCAGGTTGAACACTATGGAGACTCTCGGACAATTTTTCAAATTGTGTGGTGTATTGTTCAGAGTTCTCTATAGGAGATTTTGCCTTTACTTTGATGTGAAATAAAAGGAGCATTGCAGCTGTATCTCTGATTGAAAATATCTCTTTGTAATTGAGTTAATTCTCAGATGGACTATAAGAGGAGCAATATATGCTGCATTAACAGTGCTGCATTACAAGATTAACAATGCAGTCCTGAACAGAGTTACACCATTTTCATTCCATTGAAATAAATGGGTTTAGAAGATTGTAACTCTAATTAGGATTATACTTTTAGGCACCAATCCAGCAAAAGTTAGTCAAGATTAAGTCCTACTGAAAATGATGGAATAGGTTGGTCAGAAATAAATTCAGTATCATTGCTTTTAATTGGACAGTCATGACTAGTTGATCTGGACTGGGACCATAGACTCCTAATGCCAGCTTCACAGAAATGTGTTTTGCTTATTTCCAGATGAAATAGTTTTCTAATATCATGCTTGTGCTATGATGTAAGAAATATTGAATGGGAATGATTGGGGCATATATGTCCAATAGATTGTTCCCTTGACAGCTTGTACTTGAGAGAGAATACATTATGAATGTTAAATTGGAAGTGTTCTCTCTACCATCCCACTTGGCAAGCTATTGGCAAAAGTAGTAGAGCAATGTGAGGTGGCAATGTCAAAATTCCAGAGTAATTTTAAATTTTGCTTGAGTTCAATATAATGATGAAATAGGGAAAATGAAGGCCAGCAGAATTTTCCAGCCTCTGAGCACTCATAAGGCATGTGGATGGAACAGACTTGGGCTATTTCATGTGGGAACAAACTTGTAAGGGTTCAAAAAGGGATTATTTATTTTTTTAAAAAAACCAGTAGATATCCTTGGTGCTTGTTTCATGGGTTTGTTCTGCCCCAAAGTCTGGTCTCCTGTCTTCCAATTTAATTGGAGAATTTCAGAATTTTCAGAGTTTTCATTTCAGGCCTTTTTGTTTTTCATACATAAATCACCCACAGCAGGACTTCATTTTGCACACTAATTTACTTACTACATGTATAAATATAAATATTCGAGATCATCTGATTTATTCTGCATTCTTCATGCACACAAGAGTGTGTTAGGATGTTGTATCAAGTCATTTTAGGAAGTGTCTCTCACAGACTGCATATAAAAACAGAACCATTAGAACTAAATAGTGATGGTCAAGAAAATAAATTGCATTTTGGAACCCTTAAGCAATCCCAATGATTGTTTTATTTAGAATTAATAATAAAGGCCACATGGAACTCTTTCCTTGGTTGTATGTTTCTTGATTCAAATAGTTCAAGAAAAGCAATATTTAAAAAACAAAATGTTGCATTTTCTAATGGTTTCTATATATAAATGGGATAGGACAGAATGGCCCTTCCCCCACCCTTTTACTGACAGAGGCCATTTCAAAACATTTATGAATGTTTTTGTGCAGATATTTTTGAGTGAAATAATAAATCCATTTTCTGAACTGTTGATTCTCCAGTATGAAAGACCTGCTGTTAACTGGGCTAATATGTGGTATAAGTGTCACAGAAATGAACTGTAACGTGGAAGTATTATGATGGTCATTAGAATCTGTTTTGCAGTTCCACATGAAAACTATAGCTTTGTATGATTTTATAAGGTATGTGGATTTAAAAAAATAATTAACTTCCTTTTTGTTTGTCTGTATATTGCTACAAAACTATTTGGCTACACTTAGATGTCACAAATAAACTTCTATTTGTGATAAAGATGAGGAAGTCTTCTGGTTTACCCACTCCCATCTTCTGCTCATATCTGACTAGCTAATTTAAAACCTCCTTATCTAACTGTAATTTTTGAGATGTCTGAATTAAGAAAAATAACAAATTTTAGCATGTTCTTTCGCCTACAGACTACAGTCTGAGGTTCTAAATTAGGATTAAACAAGTGGAGACCCGCAAGAAACTTGCGGGATGGTTATCCTATTCCTCACGCCTTTGCTTCCTCCTGTCTCCCCCTACCTCTCTCATACTCTTTCTCCCTTATGCCCCCCTTTCTTTCTCTCTCTCCTCAATGTATGGTTTGGAGGTTGGAGTCTATCGCATTATACTGGTCTGTAGTTTCTCCCCTCCTCAAATCCCACCCTCCCCAGGCTCCACCCCTCAAATGTCCAGGAATTTGCCAACCTGGAGTTGGCAACACAATTTCCTTCCCACCCAACAGCCAACCTACCTTTATCTGCCTCTCTGTCTTCAACTTTCCATCTCCACACCCCTCCCCCACAGTCTCTACCTAGGAAAATTACAGTCTTTCTCCACAGTGGGGACCAAAGCAGCTTACATTATTCTCTCCTCCTTTTTATCTGCACAACAACCCTGTGAGGTTGGCTAGGCTATAAGTATGTACTACAGAGATAACTTCCCATGGAGAAAATGGCTGCTTTGGAGGGTGGACTCTGGCATTATACCCAGCTGAGGCCTCTCCCTTCCCCAAACCCAGCCCTCCTTCCTTACGGTCCACCTCAAAACCTCTAGGGATTCCCCAGGCTGGCACTGGCAGCCCTTGTCAAGCCAGGCCCCAAGGCTCCCTTCCTCCCTCCAAAAAGAGGCCTGGAAAGGGCCCTTCCCCCACCCTTTTACTGACAGAGCCAGTTAGAAGCCTCCCCCCCGCCCCGAACGTTCTAATCTCTCTCTCACTGTTGATGCCTGGAGTTAGATCCCTGCAGAGGCCATTTCAAAAGGTATTGGGGGGAATTCAACCCTCCCTGAAGGGATTTTTTTACTTCTTGGATTTTTCTGCAGACACAGGAAGTCTACTGACTATGTTGGAAAAGCTGTTGGGGGAGAGTGAGCTTCCTGTTAGTGGAAATAAGTATCCGCACAACATGCCCTCTGTTGGAATTAGTATATAGATGGTTTAGAATCTTTGTTGGTAAGCAAAAGAACAGCAGTTTGTTGCTTTATATTATTCAGCCATTTTAACAAAATGGGACTAGATAGAAGCAGGAATTCTTCAATTTTTCAGCTAGGTGTTAGGAAGAGAGAGAGAACGGAAAGAATGGGCAAAACCAAAGGATTTCTGGATTATTCCTATCATGGAGAGATTAATGTTTGTGATGTCTGGTGCAGCCTTGTTGTTTTTGCCACTGAAGACTCATGCCTTTCCCTGTAGAATTTATGAGCTAGTGTTTCTAGATCACGCACTCATACTGCATTTGTACTAATTCACTCCCTCTGAATATCATCCTGGATTTTGAAGGTTCTGGTCCTAGACCTGCACTTAAGGGATAGGGTTTTACCGTTGGTTCTATTTGAATCTGAGGATTTTGTAAAGACTCCTGTGCATTTTAAGCTTTTTATTGCAGCCATTTGATACTTTTTCTTACTTTGCAAATTAAGTTATGGA